AAGAAAGAAAGAAAGAAAGAAAGAAAGAAAGAAAGAAAGAAAGAAAGAAAGAAAGAAAGAAAGAAAGAAAGAAAAAGAAAGAGAGGGAGGGAGGGAGGGAGGGAGGGAGGGAGGAAGGAAGGAAGGGAGGAAGGAAGGAAGGAAGGAAGGAAGGAAGGAAGGAGAAAGAAAAGAAGGAAAGAAGGAAGGAAAAAGATAGTATGCTTCAGTCTATATTCAAACAACATCAGTTCTTTCTCTGGATGCAGATAGCATTTTTCATCATAAGTCCTTTGGAATTATCTTGGATCATTATATTGCAGAGAATAGCTAAGTCATTCACAGTTGTTCATTGTACAATACTGCTGTTATGGTGTACAATGTTTTCCAAATTCCACTCACTTCACTCTGCATCAGTTCATGTAACTCCAGGTTTTTTCTGAAACCATCCTGCTCATCATTTCTTACAGCACAATAGTATTCCATCACAATCATATACCACATTTGTTCAACCATTCCCCAATTGATGAACACCCCCTCAATTTCCAATTCTTAGCCACCACAAAAAGAGCTGCTATAAATATCCTTGTACAAATAGATCCTTTTCCTTTCTTTTTTTAAATGTCTTTGGGATACAAATCTAGTAGTGGGTCAAAGGGTATGCATGGTTTTATAACCCTTTGGACATAGTTCCAAATTGCTTTCCAGAATGGCTGGTTCAATTCACAACTTCACCAAGAGTACATCAGTGTCCTGGTTTTTCCACCTCCCTTCCAACATTTATCATTTATCCTTTCTGTCATATTAGCCAATCTGATAGGTGTGAGGCAGTACCTCAGAGTTGTTTTAATCTGCTTTTCTCTAATCAATAATGATTTAGAACATTTTTTCATATGACTATAGATAGTTTTGATTTCTACCTGAATCATTTTTTAAAGATCAGTTCCGAAATTCCAGGATGCTGGTCAATAACATCTTTTACATAGATATATAAAATGACATCATAGTATCAGAGATTCAGAGATAGAAGAGACCTTAAGAGGCCACTAAGCCCAAACTTCTCATTTTTACAAATTAAGAAACTGAGTCATGGAGAGGTTAAGTTACTTATGCAGCACATAGTTAATAAGTATCTAAGGAAGGATTTTAAGTCCAATTTCAGTGCTCTATCCACTACATCACACTGCTTCTCAATAGGGCAACCAAAAAAACTAATGTGAGAGATCTTAGGTTGTATTAAGAGGCACAGCATAGAGAAATGTGTCTACACAGTATACAGAATGAAGGAAGAGTTCCCCTGTACTCTGCTCTGGTCAGAGCACAGCTGGAGTATTGTCTTCAATCTGTTCCAGTCAAATAGGACCCCTTGCTATTTCCCCTACATGACATTCTATCTCTTATTCTGCTAGATTCCAGAGGGCAGGACAATGAGTGGAGGATATAGATAAGCCAATTTGAGCTCAGTAAGGAAGGCCTTCTTAACATCTAGCACTGTCCAAAAGTGGAAAGTAAGTAGGAGCCCATCAACTGGCTAATGGCTGAAAAAAAATCAGGGCACATAAACATACCTGAATGTTACTATGTAGTTAAAAATGACTAATTCAGATAATCAGGAAAGATTTGTAAGAACTGATATATGGCAAAATAAGAGTAAAAATAAGAGTAATCAACTGAAAATGGTATTCAGAATAAATAATGACTATGACAGTGTAAAGAATAACTGAAAGTGTGAAATGTGAGCTGTAAAGTATGAAAAAATAACTTAAAGAAACTAATTGGGAAAAAAACAATTATGGAAAACAGATAATGAAATATGCCTTTTTCCTCATAGCAGAAATATATGAGAATTCTAGAGCACAATGTTCCATATCGGGTCAGATGTAATCATTGAATTGGATGTTTTTGCTTTATACATTTTCTTTATTACAAGGGAGTGGTTCAGGCTGGAAGAGAGGAGATATTAAATAGTAGTAGCATCTAACATTTACATAGCCATTAGAATGTACCAAGAACTGCACTAAATGCTTTGTAATTATTATCTCATTTGAACCTCACAACAACCCTGGGAGGTAGGTGCTATTATGATCCCTATTTTACAGTTGAGGAAACTGAGGTAAACAGAAGTTAAGTGACTTGCCCAGGGTCACAGGCCAGGAAATGTCTGAGGCTGGATTTGAACTCATCTTCCTGAGTCTAGGCCCAGCCCTCTATCCACTGCATCACCTAGCTGCTCTCATATTTCCAGAAATGACTATGATGTAAAGAAAAAAAGCATCAATAAAACTTATTTTTTAAAAGGTGACAAAAATAACTTCTAAGAGTAATGTTGATAGTAAGAGCCTACTCAATTTCCCTCCAAAATGGGGAAAGAATTGCCTCAGGAGAAGAAATGACCCATTTTTAAGTAGAAGCTGGATGATGACTGTCAAGGTAGTTTTAAAGGAGATTCTTACTTGGAAAAGTTTGGAGTACATTTGATGACCTCTAAGGGCCTTTCCAACTGAGACTAGGATGCTGGCATGTCCAGTGTGGTTACCCTCCACCAGTTCTGCTCCAGAGCCCCAGGCTGCTGAAGCAGTTTGATTAGGTGACAGACTGGTCCCCAGCCAAAATGAGAGAACTTATTTTTGTTTTTGTTTTGAGAGAATGTTTGACTTAACTTCTTAATGAGGGTGGGTGGGGAGGGAGGAAGGGATAAAATTTGGAACCCAAAGTTTTAAAAACAAATGCTAAAAAAAATTGTTTTCACATGCAACTGGGAAATAAGGTATACAGGCAATGGGGTATAGAAATCTATCCTGCCCTACAGGAAAATAGAAAAGGAAGGGAATGAGAGAAGGAGGGGGGGGAATAAAAGGGAGGGCAGATTTGGGGAAAGGGTATTCAGAATGCCTGCCATCTTGGGGTTGGAGGAGGGACAAGATGGGGAGAAAATTTGAAACTCAAAATCTTGTGGAAGTGAATGTTGAAAGCTAAAAATAAATTAATTAATGGAGAGAATTTTTGAAAGGATAACACCAGCATTTCAGGTAAATGGTCCCTTCCAACCTCTGAACTCTATGATTCACAGCACTCACTACCAGTCTCTTGTACCTAGGATAATTTCTGGCCCTTCAAGTTGACCCTCCACCTCCCAGCTGTGACCTGAGTACTCACCACCTGCTCCACTTCATCCTGGTTGGCCCTGGAGTTTTCATTTCCTTCTTCTGTGGAGACCAAAAGGCTCTTTTCCTCTCCCTGGACATAGCCAAAGATAATGGGGCAGCTTTCTTGGCCTTGGTGGCTGAAGACACTTGGCGTTCGCCTTAGTTCCATACTAGTCTTCAGTTTGTTGTCATAAAATTCTTTGGAAGGGAATTTGCAGATATCCTCGTGCTATTAGGGGCAAGAGACAGAGTAAGCTGGAACAATGAACACAATCCATTTTGCCCCTCTTTATATCCCTGGCACCTAGCATAGTGCCTGGCACAGAGTAAGCATTTAATAAAAGTTGGTTGACTAACATCCCAAGGTAAAGGAATTTGCCAGTCAAGAGGCAGAATGGCCAAGGCAGCAGCCAGATAAATTTGTTCCACCATGGCCTCAGGACAGGCTATCTATAATATCTGTGGAGAATATAGTAAGTGTGAAGATCCATCCCCTTGGGGCACAACCACTGATACAGATGATGCAACATCTCAAAGAAGGATGTCCATCCTGGTGGCCCTTTCTGGTTATCTCACTCAGAACAGAGCCTGTCAATTAGAAATCCTTAAGCCCCCTCAGCTTGTTCAAATGCCCCTATTTGTGCCTTCTATATCTTTATGAGACTTTTTTTTTTCATTATATTCATACAGCAGTATAATGTAGCACCAGTCTGTCATATGGCGGAGAAGAACACAGACCTCAAAGTTGAAGGGAAAGAGTTATGACTCAGGGGTGGGGAACCTGCAGCCTCAAGGCCACATGTGGCCTTTTAGGTCCTTAGGTGCGGCATTTTGATTGAGTCCAAGTTTTATAGAACAAATTCTTTTATTAAGGGAGTTTGTTCTGTGAAGTTTAGATTCAGTTGAAGGGCCGCACATGAGGACCTAGAGGGCCACATGTGACCTCAAGACTGCAGGTTCCCCACCCCTGACTTAGGTGGTTTATTAGTTAATCAGCATTTCAAAAGGAAATAGATAATAACTGCCAGAGGACCAACACTCAGAAGACACAAGGGCGGGCAACCTGTGGCCTCAAAGCCACATGTGGCCCTCTAGGTCCTCAAGTGTGACCCTTCAACTGAATCCAAACTTCACAGAACAAACCCCCTTAATGAAAGGATTTGTCCTGTAAAACCTGGACTCAGTCAAAATGCCACATCCAATGATCTAAAAGGCCACATGTGGCCTTGAGGCTGCAGGTTTCCCACCCCTGCACACAGCCCAAGTGAACTGCAAGATATTTGACCTCCACCTTGAGGTTACTATCTCAAGACCTCCTGAGCTTCTCTCTCCTTCCTACCCCTTCTTCTGTCCCCTTCTCTTTAACTATCTTGCTCTTTCCCTAACTTCTCTCTTTCTCTCCCCTTGCCTCTTCTTTACTATCATTCTTTCCTTTTTCTCCTTATTTCTGCTTCACTCTACTCTCTATTCCCCTCCCCACATGTCCTCCTTAAGGGTACACTATAACTTTTGGCTTGGTCTCCCCAATGCCTAGGACAGTGCCAGGCATGTGTAGACATTTAACATATGTTTGTTCAATTGAATTGCCTCCTCCTTCATTCCCCTTGTGTCTCTCATTTCCTTCTACACTTTTCTCAACTGTCTTCTCCCTCCCTCCTTTTTCTTCCATATCTGTTCTTTTTCCTCTTCTTCTCCCCTCCTACTTTTTTAACCAGACCCATGATTTCATTAGTATAAAGAGCTTGCAGTGAACAGCTTCCTCCACTAAGGCAGATCAATACCTCTTCCACAACTTACTCTTAAAAAATTTCCTGAGTAAGTGATTTGCCCAAGATCACACAGAGAGCAGATAGCAAAAGAACTCTGATCTTCCTGATGTCTAGGACAACTGTCTATATACTCTTGGCTGTGTCTCACTCCTCCCTTTACCTGACCATAATATGGAATTGAAGTACTTATCCTAATTGCTATGTAGACTAATGTCTCTATTTTTTTTATTTTAAAAGCAATTAAGGTTTATACATGTCAATGAAATAATTAAGTTGATTTATGACCCTCTATTAAATATTCCTGTTGATCAGTGGCCCTAAATAGTTCACTTATCCCTGCTCACTGAACTCAGCCTCTAACCAGTGTGGTACAGTGAGAAGACCTTGGCTCTGAGGTCAAAAGACCTAGGTTCAAATCCCATTTCAGTTCTACCAATATGGCCTTGGTCAAGTCATCTAACCATTCTGAGCTTCAATTTCCTTTTTCTAAAATGAAGGTTTTGAGGTAGGTGGCCCATGCAGTGCCATCTATCTCTTGATTTATCATCCTTTCCTCCTCAGTCACAAGGCCTCTTACAGAGCAAATCAAGCCCTCCTGACTAAAGATCTTCTCTCTTCCAGTACTTGGGAGATTACTCAACTATATTCATAGAACATTCTTCCCTGACTCCATTCTCCCACCAACACCTTCTCAGATGGCTCCTCCTACTGATCCATCACTGTAAGCTCAAGAAAACCTAAATGCCACATTGCTGCCAGGTGACCAATGGTTCACAAAGTGGAAATTGGATTGTGTGAAAGAGCACATCTATATGGGTATCTGTATTTCCAGCAGGGGAGAGGTAAGTGACTGTATATCTCTCTATTTGTAGGATGCTATGTGTATAGAATAAGTCGCATATGTGTATGTATTTAAGGGGGAGCTGTACGTGTATGTGCATGTGTATAGGACTGTGATTGTATTGGTTCATGTAATTGTGCAAATAACTATTTTTATATATGAGCATCTGTGCATTCATCTGTATACATGTAAAAATGAGAGTATGATTGTATGTATGGCTGTATTTATGGGTATTTGTGGGGCAGTTGTGTATGTGTGTGAATATGTATATTGGGGAAATCGAAGGGATTAGGACAGCAAGTGGTTAATCGTGGAAATTGAGTGAACCACACTGACTCCATCTTGTGACTCAATTCTGGAGTTAGCTTAGTTTCTATTCAATTACGGATCTAGTCCAATTTCTGTCTTGTGATAAAACTATTCAATTGTGAGAACTGGGAGAAAACCTTACTGTATTGTTTGAACCTGGCACTGTGTGGCTGGGAAGCTGGACCACCTCTACCTGTTGCTTAGAGACCCTTAACTAATGACCTAGGTTATGCTCACCAGAAACCCAGTCAGATCCAAAGATTGATGCAAGGAGTTTTTTCACAATTGTACAACTCAAGCAATCCAGATGTCTTATCTGAGAACTGGCCCCGTACTGATCAATCGGTTATTGTTCCCATGTTCCTTTGATTGTTTACAGACACTTGGGAGGAGTGGGTCACCTCTTTTCTGAATTCACGGAATTGCACCTGTTCCCTCACCCCCTCCCAACTTGGAAAGTCCTTAATCTTTCATCCAATTAGAAATCAGATTATCTGATGTTGTATTGTTTCCTTTTAATTAATTGGTCTTATTTAATTAATTGTTTTTAATGTAGAAAAATCTGTCTCTCCCCTTCCCTCCCATATTCAGGGTCCAGCCCTAAGTTGAGGAGGTCTGATCCTGGTTTGTTGGGCAATTGCCATGTATTGCTTAATAAATCAAAATGATTGGAAGCTTGAACCTTTGTTTCACCAGTCATTTCATCTTTCACCCGCCATAATATGCATGTGCCTGTGTGAATGAATATACATACTGGTGTGACTGTGATTATTTGTGTGGGAGCAGGGACTTGGGGAGCAGAATATTAAAGGAATAGGAAAAGGGAAAGAAAAAGGAAGGGACCAGGCCTCTCACCATTCGGTACTGTGTGTCCAGCATCCAGGCTTGACGATGGTAGCGCTCAAAGAGGGACTTCTCCAAGCCCAGATTTTGACAGTGATCATTCTTTACAAAAGGTTGAAGCTGTTTGTGGTCCCCTAGCAACACCACCTGGAGCCCAAAAAGGAAGAGTTTCAGCCAGGCCTAGAGCTACACATGGCCAGGGTCTCCAGCCTTTGATTTGTTTCCCTTCAGCCGTCTTGACCTCATTTCCCCTCCTAAATGCACCCAATGCAGTCTAGCTGGTTCATATCAATTCCTACATCCCTATTTTAGGCCAGAGGAGATCAGGCACTTGAGGTACATGCAATAACTATTCATATCAGGCATTATTCCAACTATTCCACACGCTCTACCTCCTCATTGCCCCAGAGGAAAAACAGGGCCAGGAACATGGGAAAATCAAAGTGGGCACTATCTCACCTTCTCAGCCTGGGGAAAGTTAACGAGGGGGATGAGGCTCTCAGGCTCTGTGGACATGCCAGCTTCATCAATGAGAATTTGTTTGATGTTGAGCTGCTTAGTGAGAATGGAGGAGGCCGCACAGGAGCAGGTACAAAGGATGATGTCGTGGGTACTTAATTCATGTATCCGGGCCTTCATAGTGATTGACTTATATCTGACAGGTCAAGTAAAAGAGATCAAAAACAGTCAGAAAGGCTAGGAGAATACACCAAGGTTAAGAAACGTGGGCCTAATGCGTGACTATGCATGTTTGTTGCACATCTTTGTTGTTTTCTTCAGTGGGAGTTGGGTAGGGGGAGAAAATAGAAAGTTAGAAAAGAGAGAGGGGCAGCTAGGTGGTGCAGTGGATAGAGCACCAGCCCTGGAGTCAGGAGGACCTGAGTTCAAATCCAGCCTCAGACACATAACACTTACTAGCTGTGTGACTCTGGGCAAGTCACTTAAACCCTACTGCCTCACCAAAAAGACAGAGAGGCCTCATATACACCAAAATATTCATAGTAATACTTTTTGTAACATATAGGTGCCCATTGACTGGGGAGTAGCTGAACAAAGTGTACACATGAATGTAATAGAACATACACTATACTAAGATGAATGAAGAGAAGCATAGGATATTTATAAATGATACAAAGTGAAATAAGAAGAACCAGGAATGATTACAACAATGTAAAAATAAACAGAAAAATACAAACTGAATGCTATGTAATTATAATCACCAAGTTTGACCCTATGGAAAAGATAAGAATGCACCTCTCCCTCCCTTCTTTGGGGGATGGGAAGTACTATATATGTGGATACACTATTGGACTTGATGTACTGATTAGTATATTGCTGAACTTTTTCTTCCTTTTTAATTCATTATAAGGAGAGGCTTTCCAGGCGTGTGGGGAATGGGGGGTTTACAAAGAAACATTGTGCCATTCAAGATCAGGGGTCATATTCTAGAATGTCTAGATCCATCAGATATGACAAAATTGTAACTGTTACAGAATGTGTCCATTTATCACCAGTATAGTAACAATGTGACTGTTCTAGAACCTGGAGAGCAGATTGGTACATTTATATTGCCTCCTGCTCCAGAACATTTAAAGCTATCTCTGCATCTGTTTTCACTCTGCCTCTTCTTTCACCACACCACCCCCCACCTCAACACACACACACACACACACACACACACACACACACACCACTATCCTACACACACACACACCACTATCCTACACACACACACACCACTATCCTACACA